CACTGGAGTGTCTGCAGGCTGGCACCCCAACTCATTTTAAATTTGGGGAACTCAGCTTCAGGGAGGACAGGTCACATGGTCAAGCTCATTCTGCTCAGAGGGTGTGGAAGAATCTGAACTCAAGTTCAGCTGAATCTGAGGCTCAGTTCTTTTCTTCCTCCTCCTGGGGCAAGACCCTGCCCCTCTGCAGGCCCCTCAGAGGCCAAGGGTGGCTGAGGAATGCCCCCAGGCCCAGAGCCGGCCCAGTGGGGCTGCTGCTGCTGGAGGACCCGATACCTGCTCCGGCGCAGGCTGCCAAAGTCTCACGTGTGCAGCCACTTCTCCTCGTAGCTACGGCAATCAGCACACGCAAAGCAATACTTTTTGCACAATATCACATGTTGTTTAATGTTTGGACACTGATGTTTTTCTCCAGCTGTTTTTTTTCTTAATTTAAGTCAACAAACCAATCTGGAAGCAAACATGCTGCTTGCGTTTGGGAACCAAACAAAAGTGATAAGTAACATGCAGATTTAAGAAAAACCTGTAGTGTATGTACGGTGATGGTGTGTGTGCCGTGGTGTGTGTGTGTGGGGGTGTGTATATGTGTGTGTGAGGTGTGAAGTGTGGGTGTGGGTGTGCGGGTGTGTGTACGACTCGACCGCTAAGAAATAAGGGAAGGAGGGAGAGAAAGCTCCCAGCCCCTCAGTCCCTGTGCCCACGCCCAGGCCGGACGCATCGTCACGGAGAACCTCACACACAACGGAAACGCCGCTCAGAGCACCGCATGGCCCACGGGGCACCGTGAAGCCGGCAGTCACCCCAGCCTCCCTGTGGCAGCAGCCGCCCCCTTCTGCTCCGACAGTCAGAGTTCATGACAGCGACCACTCGGCATCTCTGCTCTGTGCCCAGACCATCGACACGCCTGCTACCTGAGAGTCCGGCACCTACATCCACAAACAGCACCGCCCCCGAGACCCACCGGGAACCCAGGGTGCAGCTCGAAGTCCCGCGTTTAGGCGGAGGGTCTCTGCGGGCGCCCACGGCCACCACCGTGCCACAGCGCTCGGGATTGATCCTAACGACAGCCCATGTGGAACTTCTCAGGGAAAAGAACGTTAATGAGCAACTTTAAAGACTTGCTAACGACGGCCTTTCATCAACCCGGGCACCGCAGGCTGCGCTCCGCCCGCGCACCTTGCTGCCGCGCCCACGGCCATCGCGGGCCAGGCCCTCTCAGGGCGCCGGTGATGCAGGCCAGGCGCGCCCCGTCTGTCGGCAGCTGGAGCCACGGGGGCCGAGGGCTCCAGGCGGCTGTCCTCAGTCATTGAGAGACGCGCCGGTCCCTGCAGTTTCTCCAGCTCGGGGCCTGGCTTTCAACTGCCACCCCCATTCCTTCCGACAGACAGACAGGGGCTTCTTGGCCGGGTTCTGTTTAAACCTCAACATCTTTCAAACTGATAACAGGTAAAATTGATGTGAACTTCAGCCTCCTAAACGTAAACTTTCAATCAAATGTCCATGAGCAAGAAATAAAAAAGTAACCCTTTGTGGACTGAGGAAGGCCAAAGCAAGCTAACCCCCACCAAGGGCCTCCAGCCCCTGGCACGACCCCACCGCCCGGACCGCAGCGTGGAAACACACGGGCCAGCCACACCGGGGCCCAAGCGCACCCCAGCGCTCAGACCATGGTGACAGGTTCAGTTTCCTGACTGGTCTTCAGGGAAAATCTTTTGAGGGAAATAAAACAATTTTATTTTCTATGTGTCCCATATGAGGTCCGTTAATTTACCCCTGTGGAGTCTCCCTACATGCAGCTCTCAACCAAAATAGCACTACAATCTTTGGCCAGGAACAATTTTCACATCGATGTAGCTGCAACATCTCGGCTATTCCAACAGTGGCTGAGGCTCGAGCTGGCACTGCTGCCTGTGGGCACAGCTGTGGGCACGCCAGCAGCCGAGGTGGGGCATGCTGGGGCCCAGGAGACGGGAGGGGACACAAACAGGGCCTGTAGGTCCCGTGAGGGCCACGTGGGATGCCTGAAGTCTGACACGGCCTTCCCGCGGGAACGTCACTGCGAGCTGCTCAGAGGCAGAATGGAACCTCCGGGCTCCCAGTGCCACGTGCCCCCTCTCTGTGTGGAGCATCTCCCCGGACGGGTTTGTATTCCGATGCTGCGGCTTTCAGAAGCAGCAAGTTCTGGAATAACACTGTCGCTCACAAAGCGGGTTAAGAGACAAACGGCGATGGCTTCACTATACACACACCCACCCCGGAGACGCTCGGCCACCAGACAAAGGAGATGCTGGGGAGCCGACTGTGCAGAGTGGAGACCCCGGAAGAAAACGCGCAGAAGCAACTAAAGTCAGAAACGACTGCCATCTGCAGCCAGCGATCGGGCCACACGAGGGCCACTCAGTAACCACTTCTGCTGGTACAAAGTGGACACGAATTAAACATCCGAATTCAGTTATCCACAAAGGAGGCTGCACCCTTCCTCCGAAATCCGGCCACCTGCCGCCTCTGTCCTACAAACTTCCCGCATGCCCTCCTCCAGGCTCCCTGATCCGGCCTCGGTGCAGCCAAGACACCCCGTGTTGGGGAATTTCAGTTTTTCTCCTCTGGGCATCGAGGAGCCAGGCCCGTCCTGCGGTTTCATCACTCACGCAGCCACAGGACGTGGCGACACCTCTGTTCCTAATGGGAAAAGGGACCTGTAAAGGACGCCCGGACCCTGCACAAAACAGCCTTTGAGTGGCCAAGGGCACCTATCCCATTATAAGCGTGGTTCTGCAAAAACAAATATTATTCAAGTCGTTCATTATCTGGCCTCTGGAAGCGGCGAGAACAGCGTGTGCTGGCCGAGCTGCTGCGCGCAGCCAGCTGTCAGGCCGCCTGCGGGTCCCCACGTCTGCGTTCAAAGTGCCACGCACAGGAAGGACGGGAAAACCCGACTGGTGAGGGGACCCAGGGCCAAGGCCAAAGAACACAGCCTTCTTGTGTCGACATTCCTTTTTATTTGGAAAATATTTTTGTATTTCTTTGTGCCTTTCACTTTCCTCTTTATTTTTATAAACTGTGCTGCGACGCTGAGCGACAGCGGCTCGAGGCGACCACGCTGGCTTTCATGTGGGCCTCTGCAGAGCTCGCCCTCGGAGCGGTACACGGCCAGGCCGGCGTGCGCCCGGCTGCTACCTCTGTCAGCAGGGACCTCGGGGCATCTATCAAGCCGTCTGACAGGGCCGAGGTGGCCCTGGGAAACAGGAAACAGAGCGCGGGTTTGTACGGCACCAAGGGCACGGCCCAAATAGGCGGTGCCAGGCCCCGCGGAGCAGCCGGGTCACCAGGGATGGCTGTGACGGGTGGGTCCCTGGCGGCACGTGGCTGCGCCCCAGCAGGGAGCACGTGTGTGGTTGTTCAGCCCGGGGCCCTTCCTCGGAGCCCAGCTGGGGATCTGGAGATCAGAGTGGGAGGCTCCCTCGTGTAAGGGAGCCACACTCTCCTGGCCCAGGAGGTGGCCTCTGTGCAGAGCACGGGGGCAGTCTGGGACATCTGGAGCATCGCCGGGGTCTGACAGTGTCACAGAGCGGCTGCTCAGCTGCCAGCAGCCCCAGTGGCACAACGTGCGCCGTGGGACTGTCACAGAGCCCATCTGAGAGTCCCACCTGCTGACCATTTTCTAACCATCTTCAAGCAGAGTGGTGACTGGGGTCTCCGACCACAGCCTAGCGCACTGCTATGGCGCCCTCTATTGGGAAGCACGCAGACCAAACCCACATCCCGGCCAGCGAGGGGGGGTTTCTGCTCTGTCGGGGCAGGGGGCAGAGGCAGGGCTGACGGTGACCGGGGGTGACCCAGGCAAGCCTTTTCCTGGGAGAATTTAGGACACAACCACCTTCACCATCCCCAGATGCAAAGTGCGACCCAGGCCCCCGCGTGTCCTCCCAACATGCCAGAAACAGGAAGGGACTCTGCTCTCACAGCGAGATGCCGAACGAGCCACACGCCTCTGGCTCTGGAAGCTCGCATGGGGCGAGGATGAGCGCAGTGCCCGAGGGGCTGGACAGAGCTGGCCCAGGGGCCGGCCCCCAGGTCAGGTGTCCACGCAGCCCATTATGGGGAAAATGACTTGGCCGGCTTCAAAAGTCAAGTCCCGAGAGGGCCCGGAGTCACAAGAGTAAGTATGGGCTAATGCTCCTGTCACTATTTTTGAGGGGTAAAAAAAAAATAAAAATAAAAAAACCCAGAACTAATCTGGCTGATGGAGCAAAGGGATATAACGCATGGGAAAGTGGGGAGGAGAGCCTGAAGTTGGCTCACATTAGGTACCTGTTCTGTTGCGGGCAAAGTAACACGAAATATAAAATACCCCCCGACCGTGCACATGATAAGGCTGTATTTTTATCTCGGTTTCTGGTGACATATACAAACCACTCGAGCTCCTCGGCTGTGGTTTATACTGTCACAGGAACCCTTGACAAAAATACAGCTTCCTACTGCACAGCTGGGTGTAGTTTATTTCCCTGTATATCATGTCCCCATTTTATTTATCCACACGCCTAGCTACCAGTCCCCCTGCTTTTCAGACACAGTTAATTATAAGCCAAGATGACAATGTGATAACAAAGGATCAGACTGTGGTGCACAGATGTCGGAGATGCTCCCCAGTGTCGCGGCCACAGGAGCTGACCCACCTTCGGGTATGACCTCTGACTTCGAGGCTTGACCTTGGGGTGCTCTCAGGAGTGCGCTAAGGCCAGGAGCAGGCGTAGGGGGCGTGGAGGGGGTCGGCGCAAAACTACATCCCTGTCAGGTGCCCTCCAGCCACAGCCGTGGCCACAGAGTGGCTGATGCTTCCAAATAGTTCTGACAAGGGTTACTTTCTATTTGATGGACTCAGATCAAAAGTGGCTGTGTCTTGCACGACCTTTTCTGGCAGTTGGGCGAACACAAAGCTAGAAAACCGCCACGAGCACCGCTTCTGTGGCCCTCCCTTCATTACCAACGCGTGAGTGTGAACCACTGTCCTGCAGCTTCCACAGCCAGGAAGGGAAGGTGGGACCATGCGGGGTGGTCGGCCCCTGGGGGGACGAACGCAGCTGCAGCCTGGGGGAGGCTGCGCGGGCCATGGTCATGGTAGCTGGGGCCCTGGTGGCCATAGCTGGCTCCGGGTGGCAGCCAGCTGTTCCCAGTGGGTGCCGAGGCTTCCCTTCCAGGGTAGGCCCTCCCGTTCCCAGTCCTTCCCCTCATCCTGACTTGACACTAGAACTGGGACAACACAGTGAGAGAAGGGGACAAGCACACACAGTATGGCTGGTCTCCTGCACTTGCTCTGCAATAAAAGGTCGAAACGACAAAGGGAGGGCAGACACACATCCCAAGACACGGCAGCTTCTTTAATGTGGCGGAGCCTCTACACAGACACCTGCTACGTGTTGTTAGTTACGTGTCACACGCGTACTCCTATCACACATAGTTAGTTTCGGCCGGTGGGCTTGGAGCTGATGTCCCCCAGGGCCCCACGCCAGGTTCGGGCTGGACGGGTGCCCCCTGCACGGGCCAATGTCCCCGCCAGGCTGCCTTCGTGGTCCAGGAGCCACTCCTTCACGTCCAGCCCTCCGGAGTAGTTGCCCAGGGCTCCGCTGCTGCACACCACGCGGTGGCACGGGATGAGAATGGCGACCTGGAAGACAGTGAGGCGGCCACCATCAGCCTGGCTTCAGGCCAGGGGGGTCCTTGGGGCTCACGAGCTCGGCCCCTGAGCACACGGATCCAGGACCCGCCGCGCAGAGACTCATTTGTTCTAGAGCTGTCTCAGTGCCAGTCCCCGGGTCTCCAGGACTCCACAGGGGCTGGGCCGGGGCAGACAAGGACCCAACCCCAGAGGGAATGAACATGCGGCATTCTCCAGCCAACTCCTGTGCACCCAGATTTGGGAGGAGAAACTTAATTTCCCTTGGTAAGAGATTTATAAAGTGCACTTAGAAAATTTAAAATTACCTTCCAAGTTGTGGGGTGGTGTGGAGAGCTCTCCAACCTTCCTGAGAAGCAACAGCAGACCCCACACCTGGGAGGTGCACTCAGAGCCTGGGGCCCCCCCTGCCGGTCCGCGCCCTGACCTCCACGCTCCACCTCTGAGGTCGGCAAACTGGACACAGTGGTCAGCCACTGGCAGCCGAGTGTCTAGAGGAAGCGGCTGAGCTCATGCGCCCGGGATCTCCTCACGGCATCTGGGCACCCTCTGCTTCCTGGGGTGGCCATTCTGCCTCTGCCATCACTGGAGACCCTTTACTGAGAGCTGAGCCCAGGTGTCACCTGCTGGGCACTCATCCGGCTCAGCTCACCTGCCTGGGGTGCCTGCTCTGTGGACCCCGAGCTGCACATGTCCCAGGTGGATGGCCTGGGCCCCGGTCCCCATCCTGGACGAGATGCTCAATAGTGCCATTGGGGAGAGTGTGCTCTGTGCCCGAAGCGGCTCATGGTGACATCATATCCTCCAACATGCCCCAGGCCAGGCACTGTCATCCTCGGGTCGCATTCAGTCCCTGGCCCAAAGTTCACAGGGCTGTTCAGAGGCAAAAGGAGGATTCCCACCCAGCAGGGGTGAGGTCTGACCCTCACCCTCCTCAGGCTCCAGGAACAGCCCCTGGGGACAGCTGAGGCCAGCCTGGGCGGGCCGGCCACTCCTGGCACAGAGTTCTGGTCCCGATTCCCACTAGAAGTTTGGGTTGCCGTGGTAACGCGTGCAGCCTCGTCCTGCGATTTCCTGTTCAGTGCAGTTTAACAGAGTGAGAGTCGGTAACGCCGCCCAGTCCTGCAAACGGCACCCGCTCCCACCCTCCTGGGGGGAGACAGAATTCTAAGAATTTCCGGAATATTTACTCGGGTTTTCAACAAATACCACGTCACATTAATAACGGCCCGCAGGGCACAATGAGATAAACTGCAAGTCAAGGTTCTGACTGATAAAGGGGCAGGGATCTCATCCTACTTGGTTTTGCACACATTTAGGCTCCGGTTCAAGTCTCCCACCTAACAGACTTCACAAGAGACCTTTGCTTCCTCCCTTCCCTCCCAACAAGCGATGGAATTATAAAAGTGTGGGACATGAACCTGGCCCTCTTTCTGTATGTCACGCAGGAAACAGGGCGGCCGGATGGGGAGGACAACTAATTATAACTAAGCTACGACCAGCCTGCCTCGTATGCACACGGTGAGGGCAAGCAGGTGACTTAATGAACACGCACGATTTCACCACTCCGAATGGGGAAACGCTGCGCCTGTTTCCGTTAATTTTGGTGGCAGGTTTCACGCTATTAAAATAATGAAACCTGCTAAAATTTATTAGAGCCCTAAGGACATTTCAAAGGAGCCGGACCCTCCATGCCTTCTCCTTCAAGGACTGTGCTGCATAAAATGTAATTTTTATCAATAACCAAGCAGCTCATAATATCACAGCTGCCCCGCAACCTTCACGCTGTGAAATCTAATTCGTCCAATACGCGAATCCATCACTTACGCGGACCATCTCTCAAACGCTATAAAGCTTCCAAACCCATAGGTTTGTCTCCGATGAAAATAACACGAAGGGGCCTTTCAATCAATAGGGAATCCCTCTGATTCCAGTGCCGGCTGCATATTTCCTCCGACTCCGCCTTTGTTCTTGCGGGTAGCAGCCCACAGGGGAAGGAGCTTGTTTTCACTCGCGGCCTCATCAATACCTAAATCCCGGTGAACAAGTGACACGGAGAAGCTGTAATCAATAGCTCCCTGTGCGTTTTCTTCTTCTGGTCAAATGGTTCAGCCCCACTGACAGCCCTGACACTTAGAACATGATGGTAAATCTTTATCAACAGCCTTCTGGGTGACTGGCAGAACGCGGCTCGGGGTCGTTGACGCTCGTGGCGATCTGCGGGTAAACGAACTCCTTCGGAATGCCTTTTGTTTAGAAAGAGGTGGGAAATTCTCTGTGCACAGTATTGATTGCCTTTGAACTGCATTAAGCAAATTCTGTCTGAGGATGAGCGGAAGGTGTTTTGTGCGGGAGGCGTCTTCAGTCCAATCTACCAGACGACGGACCGGCCTCCACGCCGGGTCGGGGAGAGCGCCTCCCGGAAGGCTGCCCAACCGTCTCCTCCAGGCTAGTGAGTCCCTTCAGGAAAACTTTGGAAAAATTGAGTATCTAGGACGGGAAGAAACTCCCACCCCAGGAAAATCCACGCCTCCCCCAGGCAAGGGAAGGAAGTGTTGCGAAATGGGTTCTCGCTCACCGCAAGCCCCCTGGGGGGATGTGCACACCACGGTGTTTTCCCACATTCCAAGTGCGCGTCCACCCTCCCCCTGGAATGCTTGACTGCTCTCTCCAGCCTGAACGGAGGCGTTTCCAGGGAGGTCTCCACGGTGCGGTCTCTGTGCGGGAGTGGCTGAGCCCGCCGTCAGCACCAAGGAAGGGACACAACCATGTGGACAACCATGTAGGCTAACCACAGGCCGTCCGCACCAGGCACGGTCCAGCCCCGGACCAGTGCTCCTTTCTCTCTTGGGTCTGAATCACCTCTTGGATCCCCAGTCATTTCTAAGGAGTTTACATCACTTTACGGAAACTCTGAGGACTGTCGCCCATCACCCTGAAGTGCCATTTCTTGCGGGAGTACCTGCCCCGCCTGCATCACAGCTGGAGGCACCTCTCAGGCCTGCAGCCGCTGGCACCTTTGCAAACTCTCCATGAGGTGAGGGTTCCTATGAGTGTTATGGGCCTGATGCCAGAGGAAGGCCGTAGAAAGGCCACGAAGGCTCACGGCCACCCAGCTGTCCTTGGCAGGCTGAGAGGAGGGGGCCTCGCAGAGGCTCCTGCCAGGTCTGTAGACATCTCCAGGCCCGGCTTTGGCCCACGACGGGAGGTCAATATGAGGACTTCATGGACATCAGAGTTTGAGCCCTGTGGATCCTATTTTATAAATTTCTGTGACTGAGGCCACACTTGCAGGGAGACACTCATAGAGATTAATAGCAGGGGGTGAGTGTCGTGCTGCTTGCAAGACAATAAATGTCCCCGGATATCACCACGAGTGCGATCGCTGAGCTGCCACGGCGTCCCCGCCGCAGAGCGAGGCGCCGCGGGCCCGGCAGGTGAGGCTCCTCATTTGTATCCGTCGGTTACAGAGCTGGTTTCCACAGCAACGTGTGGGTGCCGCACACACCCAGGGGCAGGCGGTGTTGCCACTTCGTGCGTGTGCACACCTGGGCGTCAAGCTGGACATCGGGGGGGAGATGGGAGGGAGCAGCTCCACCCACGGGGCCCCGGGCAGTAGCAACCTGGCCTGGACCGGGGCTGGAGACCTGGGACTAAGCGAGAGTTCCCACAGAGCACAGCGTCCGAAGTGACTCAGGAAGCGGTCCCAAGACCCCCTCAGCTTCCAATGTTCCTCTCCCCAGGCCCACGGTGGAGCCTGATCCCAAAGCACCCAAGCGGCCTTTTTATCTAGAGCAATGTCGAACTGAGCCACAGCCTGCGAGAAGATGGGGACCTTCCGAAGGAAGATGCATTTAAGCTTTATTGGCAAACGTAACAAACCATATTTCACAAACTTAATTTGGAATCATGCCATGTGCTCTGTAAAAACACGGCCCCGTGTGTGGCAGGATGTGATGATGAGGCCGGCCCGAGCAATGCAACACAGCAGATGCAAACAGCATGCTAACGGGGCCCACCGGCCCTCGTCCCCGAGAACTTGGAACTCGGGAGGGGGTTGCGATGCGTCATCCGTATCACACAGTGCTCCAGACAATTCGGGTACTTTAACACGGCAGAAACTTTTGCAGACTAGACCTACCCTGGCACAGCGCAGCTCTGCGCTCACAGGAGCCGTTTCCTAAAGCACAGTGCGGTGCTGTGCGAAAGGCTGAGAGCTCACCATCTCCCACAGATGCCGGCTGCGCCCTGGGGCGGCCCTGCGCCGAGTGGCAGGTGCGCCGACTGTGCTGTGCGAACGCCCACCTGTCCAATGAGCAGGGATGAAAATACACAGCAAAGCCACACAATTTTTTAGAAAGTGGGCCTGACTTAGTAATTTCCCACCCCATGATTCAATGATGCTATTTGTTCTTCCCGACTGGATGGCGTTCTTCCATTAGAGATGTCCCTGTGGCTGCAGGGAGAAGCTGTCACCGATGTGACAGCATTTACTTGCTGGGCACTGGAGAGGCCAAGGAGAATGGGCACAATCCAGGGGCCTCACGAGGCTGGGCAGGGTCTTCGAGACTAGACAGTCTCTGGCCCGTGTATGACCTGACCTGTACTTCTAGGTTCGATGGGTGCAGCCACCCCACACCGCAGCCCTGTCTTCCAGCGAAGAAAGCTTCACGTGGCCTGTGAGCTTCGCTCTCAGCCAAACCCAACTCAGACCCACAGGAGGGACAGGACATGAAAGCGTGTGGGCACAGCCACATTCCCGACAGCCATGCCCAAATCCGGTTACTATCCCAGGTCAAGTGTCAAGAGTTTAGTCGTCCCTAGTGGTCAGGCCCAGGGCGGCTGGACCTCATAACAGAAGGTGGTCCCGGGGAGATGGACCCAGCACGTGGACCTTCTAGAAGCTGAGCACCAGGACGGGGGTGGGGGCTTTCACTCTGCTTTGTCTCCTGCTCTAACCCAGTACCCAGGAGAGCGCCTGGCTCACACCGGGCACCCAGGGCACACAGCTGTTGAATGGATGAACGAATGTCTGCTGGCCACTTCCCCAGGCTTTGTCCCTGTGTGCTCCCTGTGACAGAGGCTCTGTGTTTCTAACACATGGAAGGAGGGCTCTCGGGTGTGTGGGGATGCTTTCTTTACCACCTTCCCCAACCCATGGGCAGTGCCCATGTCTCTTCTGAGGTCCCCATTACAAATGCTTCCTGTCCATCCGCCAGCAGCACAGGCTGCCTGGGAAACACGCTTCTATCAAACGACACCCACCAACCCCATCCGCACGCCGACCCGCACTTACAGGGTTGCTCCTCATGGCTCCGCCCACCGCCCGTGCGGCTTTGGGGCTGCCCGCCAGGGCTGCTAACTGCTGGTAAGAAACCACTTCGCCGAATTTCACCACCTCCAGCAGCTTCCACAGCACCTGCCGGGTGAACGAGTCTGGAAGGAAGAAGGCAGAGTGATGTCATTTGGACAATCGGCTCCAGCAGCTCTGACATAAACAGCTGCCAGCCCTGAATCAGAAACCCATCGACACAGAGGTGCTGCACTCAGTCAAAACGTGGCCTCCATGTGCGTTCCTGTCACCTGGCACGAGGACCACGCGTGAGGCGGGGCACAGAGCGGGCTGGCTTCTTCCAGGGATCCCCAGCCACACATCACAGATTTGCAGCTTCCCACTGTCCCTGTTCCTGCCCGGTGCTCTCCCAGTTCACGGGCATGTATAAACTAGCACATGGTCCAGCTCCTGAGCACAGAGGCCGTGCCTGCCCACTGACTTCGAAATCCTTTGTACTGTTGGTGCATTTCCGACGTCAGAGGAGACCCAGAAGGAAAGAGGAGCCATGGGCTGGGCTGGGCTGTTACACCAGCTGCCCACATTGGGCAACGAGCAGACTCAGGATGCCAAACCCTGGCACCTAGGGGCCAGCGGCAACCTTGGCTATAGGCCTCTGTAATGAGCAGGGCTGCAAAATCACCTAACGCCATTCCTGTTTTAATTGCATTCCCTCTCCAAGTGCTGTGGGAGTCTCCCTCTGCTCCTGGCGGTTAGAGCCGTTTCCAGGTGCAGGGTTTGCAGGCGCGCAGCTCTGGCCTGTGACGGAGGCCAGTCCGAACGGGGGCCTATTGTCTTTCCAAAGAGGAGCCCGGCTCGGCATCGCTGGACACAGAACTCTGTCCTCGTGTTCTCACAGTAGGGCACCGAGCCCTCGGGGTGGCAGGAGGTCCCGATGGCACCAACAAAGGGGAGGATTCCGCAGGCAGGAGCGGTGCCCAGACTGTGCCCGTGACGGCACTAATGACACACCCCGTGCCAAGCTGGCAGAGTGCGGTTTGGTTCTTAAAGGAAACACGCCCTTACGCACGCGTTAAATAATAAAAATCGCTTCTTAGCGGAAGGGGACGGTAATCACCTCACTGGGAAAAAAAACCTGTTTAGTCTTTATTATAACATTAAGCAAATGAAACATCAGCATAATCCAGGTGATAGGAGAGAAGGGTCATCAAAGAAATTAACTTTGTTGTTCATTAATTTACATGGATTAGGCGAGGGCAAAAGATAGCAAGTGTGCTCCAGTTTTTTATGATATAATTTCAAACTGTACACCATTTGTGGCAGGAGGGTGACTTTGGGGTTAATCAGACTGATTTGTCCTTTTAATTGCTTTCTATTCAAAGAAAATTCATTAGATAATGTTCTCTTCAAAATTCATGAATCAATTTAACTGAAGAAACCACATTAACAGCTTGGGGTTCATTAGCGCGGCAGTTGTGTCGAGGGCTGGTTGCTGGGAGGGTTTCCTTAGGCAAACAGACTCTGTTTACTGTGATTTCTTCAGAAAGGGTCTGAAACCAAACTGTTCATCATTATGACTGTTGCTGTTGTTGTTACGCCTTAACTTGAAAAAAAAAACGGGAGAGCAGAGCAGAGCAGGCAGCCTGGCGGTGGTAACTGGAGGGAAGAGAGATTTCGGGGGCAGCTGCCTTGGAGGGGACGCAGCAGAGCAGCTCAGCTCGTGGGCAGAAGCGGAGGCCGGGGTCCTGGCTGCCTCTGCGGGCACAGGGGGCTCCGCTGTTTCTGCATCCCGACCTGGGGAGAGGGCGCACCCCGGCTTCCCAGGAGGGCGAGCCTGGAACTTTCCGAACCTGCTGGAATACGAGGAGAGGTGTGCGTGCAAAGTCACAGCAGCACAGCCCTGGCTGGGTGGCTCCGCTGGTTGGAGAATTGTCCCGTACGCCACGTGGTTGCGACTTTGATTCCCAGTCAAGGGCACGCACCTAGGTTGCGGGTTCGATTCCCAGTTGGGGCATGTATGGGAGGCAATGGAAGGATTCTTTTCCCTCTTGTCGATGTTTCTCTCTCTCTCCCCCCCCTTCCTCTCTCTAAACATATCCCCTCCTCGAGTGAGAATTAAAAATAAAAAAAGTCCACTGCAGCACGGAGCGGTCGGGGAGCCGGGCTCCTCTCCACCTCTCCAGCACGTCCTCAGAGCGCCAGGCCCGACGAGTTACCGCCACCTTACATAGGGCCTCTCTTTCTGGGCGTAAAAGTATCGTATCATAAAACAATTACACAGCCATCTCTGAGCACAGAGTTTATCCAACATGTTCAGCTTCATTGTCAATTTTTCATGGGAGACCATTTCTCACCCTGTACCTACCAGGCAATATATTAGGGGGGAAAAAGCTCAAAGAAGGCAATATTTAGCAATCAAGCACATCGTTCTAGAAATGCATCTCGAAACTCAATTTCACCCTGTAGGGAGCAAATGCATTAATTAGTTTAACCGGCTCTCAGAGTCAGTGCCGTTAACCCCAACCTGTGCAAAACCAGACGCAGAAACTGAACCCGTTTTGGAGGAGGGGCCAACACGTTCAGTTGTTAAAGATCCTTCCATAATGGAGTAAAACCTGCTCATAAAAATTAACACGCAGAGATATTTTCCTGAGGTGGAGGTGACCACATAAATCCACAGTGGCTGGACCAGCGTTTCAGGTGGCCTAAGGGGTACTGTTAAAATATTATTCTTTTTTCTCCCACCATGTCCCTCCCCCCAAGAGAGCAGGCCGTGAACTCAGGGTTGTGTGGAGTGGCCACTGTCAGCCAGTTCCTGAAAGCTCCTTTCCTTCGCCCTCTCCGTCCTCATCTTTCTCCGGCCCTTCTGGGGTCGGGCTTCAGTTCACACTGTGTGGTAGCCTCTGCTGGAGGCTGACCTGCTTCCCAGAGCACCCTTACCTTGAGGACATGCCATTTTCATTTCAGTTTGGGTGCCTACTTAAAACACACCCGCTGTGACCACCTACCCCTAAAACATTGTTTCCTAAATTCTCTACCTGGACTGTAAAATCAGCCAGAAAGTGGTGAAGCAGTCTCCCAACACTGGCACGGAGAGATCTTGGCCTATGTCACGGACATGGTCTTTTATGTGAGCTCTTTTCATGCCACGTGTGGGAGTGGACATTGGGCAGCCTGCACTCGCACATTTGGGCTGTTGCAATCTTTGAAATATGTATGATGACTGAAACCAAAATCATGACATTTATATAAGATTTTCAGTATATGCAGATGTAAAACATAGGTCACTATGATTTCAAGGAGGGGAGTTAAAGGATCATATGCTGGAAAGGTTTCTACATTCTACTTTAAGGTGATAAAATACTGATTCCAATTAGACTGCAAAAGTTCAGTATATAATCCCTACAACAACCAGTAGAAAAACCATAAAGAGAGATAACTATAGTCAAAAACTACAGGTAAACTAAAATAAAATACTAAAAAAGTGTTAAAATAGCCTAAAGGAAGGAAGGGGGAAAGAGAAATGAAAGACAGGGAAAAGACAAAAAACAAAATATTATAAAATAATAAAATAAAATCTAATAAATAAGGTAAAATGAAACAAATGTTATTATGTTTATATCTAAATCCAATCATATTAAATAATTACATTAAACGTAAATGGTCTAATTACACCAATGAAAAATATAGAATGAATTTAAAAAATAACCCAAGGATGTGCTGTCTAAAAAAACTCCACTTCAAATAATAGATATAGGTGGGTCAAAAGTAAAAGAATGCATAAAAATATACCATGTAAACAATAATCCAATAAAAGTTAATATCAGATAAAGCAGAGTTAAGTCCAAAGAAAATTTCCAAGGTAAAAAGGAATATTACATAGTGATAAAAGGAACAGCCCACAAAGATAACACACCAACCATACATTTTTATGTTCCTGACGGCAGAGTTGCAAATACATAAAGCAAAAACAGACAAAACCTGGAAGGAGTATTAGACAAACCCACAATTATACTTGGAGATTTCAACATCTCTCTCTCAATAACTGATAGAAATAGTTGATGGAAAATCAAGAATGTAGAAATAAAACACACTATCAAGCACCTGGTTCTGACTGACATTTATAGAACACTCTACCCAGTAACAGCAGAACATATATTCTTTCCAAATGTATATGGAACGTTGACCAAGACATACCATATTCTGGGTCATAAAACAAACTTTAACAAAATTTAAAATAACTGAAATCATATAAGTTATATTCTCTGATGATAATGAAATTAGAATAGATATTAATATAAAAAAAAGATAACAGAAAATCTCTAAACATTTGGACAGTAAATAAGCCACTTCTAAATAATCCATGGGTCACAGAGGAAGTCTTAAGGGAAATAAAAATATACATTGAGCTGACAAACTGAGAAGACAGCATTTCACAATTTATGAGACACAATCAGAGTAACAGTAGAGGGAAAGTTATAGTATTAAATGCATATTTGAGAAAAGAGGGAAGGGTCTCAAATTAAAAATTTGAGCTTCCAACTTAAGAAGCCAGAAAAAGAGAGCAAAATAAAACCAACTCAAGAAGTAAATAAAGGCAATGGCAGAAATCAATGAAATTGAAACCAGAAAAATGATAAGAGTAAAATACATAAAACCAAAATTGGGTCCTTTGAAAAGGCCAATAAAATTGATAAATCTCTAGCAAGACTGATAAAGAAAAAACAACAAATCATCAGCATCAGGAAGGAAAGGGGATGTCACTCCTGACCTCGCAGACATTACATGGATAATAAAGGATTCCTACCAATAACTACACATACTATTCAACAATATAAATGAAATAGATCAATTTATCAAAAACTACAAACGATCAGAACTCATCCAGCATGGAACAGCTAACTGGAATAGTTCAGTAGCTACCAAAGGACTTAAATTCATAGCTTAAAATCTGAAATCACCAGAGCCAGATAAAGTCACCAATTTTATCAAACATTTAAATAAGAAACACATCAACTCAGTATCATCTTTTCCTGAAAGCAGTGAGGATACACTTCCCAAGGCATTTTATGAGGCAATAATTACTCCAATATCAAAACCAGAAAAAGAAATCAGGGAAGTACAGGTTAATATCTCCCATGGG